GGTAAAGTTAGTCAATTGTCAGAAACAACATGGACGGTTTAAGACAATAATTAAACAGTAAGAATACAGTTTATCAATTAGCTAAACAATAAGAATAATTTAAGAAATTTGCCCTATCCAAAACTCCACAGCCTGACCTCATATTCAATTTGATTATCTTGGATCCGGTCCTTCCGAATTCGAATGAATCATATACAATTTCAAATTGGATTTGGATGGGACTTGTAGAACTCAATTGAAAAATGAATTGGATTCAATGTACCTCTTGATCCAATAAAAATCAGACTCCGACATAATTATATATTAATATATTATATAATATAATATATTAACGCCTTTGTTCATTTTTATTGAACTTTTAAGTATTGTTGTGAATAAAAAATATAAATCCTTGTTTGGAATAAAAATTTAATCCTTTTGTAGCTTTGTATATTTAATACATAATTAGGCTTTAGAACAAGACAATTTTTGTATTGGGTTTGCAATAAATCCATCAAAGCCGGATGAAATTTGAAATCCAAAAAATCCGATCGAAGTCAAACTCAAATGCATTGTTCATACATTCAGATGTCATTATTTTCTTATTGGATTGAACCCGGATTTAACTGGATCCAATCCTAATTCGATTCAATTACAAACCTACAAACATGCAAAGAAATAAAAATAATAATGTTGACAACATCCTAATTAAACACTACATTACCACCAAAAGTAAAAATGATAATAATACTGAGGTCCCGTTTGGTTCATAGGAATGGGGTCTGGAATTAGAATTAGAATGGACTATTCTAATTCTAACTGTTCAATTGGATAGAATGGGAATTCCATTCTCATTCGTCCTGGAATGGCATTCCTCGTTTGAGGAAATGGTCAGTTCCTGTCTCTCCATTGAGAATGAAATCTCATTCGTACTGATTCTAATTTTCATTCTCATCCTTGTCTGAACCAAACAAACTATAAAAATAAACCATTCCGATTCTAATTCTAAAGGATTTCAATTCAAATTCTGACTGCAAACCAACCAGGCCTTAAAGACCTATCAACAACACACAATGTTGAAACAAAAAGAAAACTAACAAAATAATCAATCAAGCCAAATCAATTCCATGACATATAATAACATTCGAGGAGGCCAAACTAAAACACGAGTACATCAACCTAAAAACATTAGGCCAATTCCGTGACACAACCCCGAATTAAACCCATCACCAGTACAAATCTATGTGAACAACATTTTTGAAAAAAAGAAAAAAAAAAGAACAGATGGGATCATGGGAACAAAAAAAGAAAAAAAAAACAATAATAAAAGAGATAAACCTTCATCGAAGAATTGATAAAGCACACAAGCCACTGATCTCCGTCGCCAAATACGGTGCATCAATATTAACTAAAATTTTAAAAATAAAAGAAGCTTATTCCTCCATCAGCAAACAAAGGATCCAATTAATCCATGATCACCGAGTATACACCTGAAACGATTCTCAAACATGAGTTTTGGTAAACCAAAACATAGGAAAAAAGAAGAAAATCGCATGAAAAAAACTGGTTTTAAAGAAGAAAATTAGACACATAAAGTTGTTACAAAGTAAAAAAATGTAAAATACACCATTAAAGAAACAAATAGGACACAGAAAGTTCTGATAATCCTGTATAATTGTCGAATGGGGAATCCGATCCTTCATTGCCAAAGTGACTAAACTACCGCCAAAAGAACACCGCAACTCAGAGACAACATGCCTGAAACCAACAAACCAACTCTTCCCATACCATGTCTTTTCTGCATCATAGATTTTCCTTACAGATAAAAAAACTATATTATTGGAGAAACCTTGGTTGTTTTTCATACCTTGAGTGTATTTGGTTGAATACAAAAGCGATGGTTGTCCTTCTGCAAAAAACCCAAAGCAGTGGTTATAATTTTAGAGATTTTTAGACTGCACTCCACCCCAGAATTCAGATTTGAACTGCAGATCTACAACAGAATTCAAATCTGCGCCCCACCCGGTTTCGCCCCACAAATGCCCGACACACTCAATGTGCGCCACCTGTCCCTTCACACGGTTCCGCTAGTAGCGCATGTAGGGATAATGGGATGTCCGTTAGCCCCTTCCATTGCCCCCCAAAAGTCTCAAACCATTTCATTCGAAAGACTAGGGTATCTCAAAGTTCCCTTCTCACTTGTCAGAGTTCCCTTCTCCTTCTCCGGCACCAACGACCTACAACGACAACCGACGATACTCTTCAGTTCACCTTTTCACACATTTTTTATTTTTTTTTCTGATAGTTTTGTTTTCCAGAAATCAGAGAAACCGGCGGCAGAGTTCTCTTCTCCTTCTCCGGTTATCCACAGGTTATACCTCATTCATTGGCAATTTTTTGAGTGATATCAATCCTTCAGACCATGTTGCCAAGTGGAAATTCAAGGTCATTTGGGGTTAATTTGGCTCATTCCATGAAAGAAGCAAGCACCGTTTCGATCTCCCAGGGATGGACACAAGACTAGGCTTGAACATCAGACCCGAAAGAGAGTGTTTAGGCCTCAAGGAAATCCTGATTTTATGTCCATTTCCTCCAAAGGATGCTTGCACCCATGGAATGACCAACCAAAAGTAAACTCTTTGGGATCCTTCTCAAGAGCCCCATGGAGAGAGAGAGAGAGAGAGACCTGAAAGTCATTGTTGACCAGCATTCCAACGATGCAGAAAAACATTGGAGAAGATGGATGTTACAATCTGAATCTCCATTACCAGAGAATAGGTTAGGCCCTACTTCAATTTCTTGTACATGAGTTCAATCAGAGGAGACGTCAATCCATTAATCAGAGCTGCGCTGACTGTCATAGCGAAACCCACGTAATACTGTGTATTGGATTCAATAGCAGGGCGGTCAGAGCTTGCATGGAGGGCAAGAACTATTGCACCCATAGTCAACAAAACAACTGAGTTTATGGAGTAAAACATGAACTTTTGCCCAACCTGGAGAAATGCAAACACTATTGTGAAGATCAACTAAGTGGAACCTATCAAACCATCGGTTGAGATGGGTAGATGGGACAAACCAAAGCCATATAAGTAGTTGGTGAAGCTATTGACAAGGCCGAGAATTGTGTAGGCAGCAAATAGATAGGTATTCATGAATAAGAGCTTGGCATCTTTATTGCTTTTAACTCTGTCGTGAATTTCTTTGATTTCTAGAAAACGAAAAATATTAGAAAAAAAAATGTGTGAAAAGGTGAGCTAGAGAGTATCGCCAGTTGTCGTTGTAGGTTGCCGGTGCTGGAGAAGGAGAAGGGAACTTTGAGATACCCTAGTCTTTCGAATGAAATGGTTTGAGACTTTTGTGGGGTAACGGAAGGGCCTAACGGACTACTAGCAGAATCGTGTGAAGGGACAGGTGTCACACATAGAGTGTGTGGGGCATTTGTGGGGCGAAACCGGGTGGGGCGCAGATTTGAACTCCCCACAACAATTCAAAATTTATAAATACCTCCACTTATAACACCCATACCCGCCCATGAATTGGCATTAATTCCGAGCCGGCACCTACCCCCAACTATACGATGGAGCTAGGATTTCAAAGGTGGACTGAATGGTAAAAACCCCTATATTTTACTATAGAGCCTTCCTGGGTCTATTAGCTTGAGACGTTTTTGGATTTGTTAGCATTAATTGTTGCACAGTTGCTCTACTCCTTTAGGCAGCATTGGTTAAAGTGCAATTTTATTTGTATTAGTACAAATGCATAGGAGTGCAAATGAAAAGAATGGAAATTTTGGTTTAATTTTAAATAATAAATAATATATTATATATTATAAATGTATATATATATATTTATATAATGCATATTTATTAATTTATAATGTATAAAAAATATAATATATATAATACACATAAATATACATAAAATATATATAAAATATATGTATACTAGTCGGTTTTGTTAACCGTCAATTTTCTATTTTAATTAACCAAAATCTAACCGACCAATTTGGTTAATCAAAATTCCAGTTTGATTTCGGTCATTTTTTTCTGATCGATTTCAGTTTTTTTTTTGGTTTTTCTTGCTCGACTCTAACCAAAATACTCTTTTCCCTCATAATTTCCACCCCCATTCCTCTAGCCATTTTTTCTCTTTATATGAAAGTGTAGGGAGTTTCGTTACTCAATTCCACCATATTGGTTTATCAAAAGGATAATAAATCATCAACAAACATCGTATGGATGATACTAATGAAAGCATTATGAATTTTAATGCCTTCTGTAACACCCTCCAAATGAAACTTATCGAGAATGCGAGATAAAAGACAACCTAAGAGTCTATTTTGTTCATAATTGGGATCAAAATTGGAATCGACTTTGGAATAGTCTATTTCTGTAGTTTTATTTGATTCAAGCATGAATTGAAATAAACTGAAATGAAATTTCATTTTCAAGGAAGGAGAGCAAATGAATAATGACTATTTCCTCAAATGGAACAATGTTGGAATGGGAAGGAAATTCAATTTCCACCGAACCAAATAGTTAGAATAAACTCTTATTCCTATAAACTATAACAGACTGTAAGTTTTTAAGTTTTTTAAAGAGATTCTGAGTTCTCTTCGCTTTAAATGACTAAAATTGAAACCGGATAAATCTTAATTAAAATAATTTTATTATTTAATCATGTTATTCATTAAAAAACAAAATAATAAGTTATTCAGTTCAGCCACTCCAGCCCTTATCAAACCTCCATTTCCAGAAAATTCATGAAAATCGAACCCAAAATGTAAATGGTTTTGCTTCTCCACGTGGTATTTTGACAGAGTTCCATAAGATTCCCAAGAACATTCCATACAAAGCTCCCAGATTTCAAGCCGAGCCAAGGCCATTCATTGGCCGGCCGCGGCTCCATTTGTGGAAGAACGCACGCGAAAGGAGAAAGCACTGTAGGCCACTGAAGCTCACACCTCTCTGCATTATAATAATTAGAAAAATATTATATAAATATGTGCAGTGTTAATGGCGCTTTCTCTTCTCGACCTATCTTCTTTCTTTCTCTTCTTTTTCTGCTTATTTCTTAATTAATTAAACTTTTTTTTATTATTTTCTTCTTCTCTTCTTATCTCGTTCGCCATTTCCGGATCGAGGGTCTGAAAATAAGCGGAAATCCATTTGAAACAGGTGGAAGTGGAACAGTGGTTTTGTTGCAGATCTGGTGGAGTTGGACCAGAGAAGAGCCTGATTAGATTAGAGGAGTGTTTTTGAGCGAATCTTTTGAGGTGGGGTGTTGATAATCTGTTTGGAAATGGAGATTATGCTGATCCCGCGGTTTGGGTATCGAGTTCGAAGGAAAGATCCACCGTGGCCGAGGATCTGGTGGGTTTGAGCTTGGTGTGGTGAAGAAGTGGGAGGTTTTTGTAGGTTGGGAGGAGTTGCTTGGTTTTGTGGAGTTTGGTCATGGCTACTGTACAGAAATTGTCTGTATCGAGTGGAAGCACGAACGGGGGCAGTTATGGGTCGTTCAAGACTGATGCTGTTGTGTCGGATCAGTTTCCGGCCGGGCTGAGAGTTCTTGTGGTTGATGATGATACGACTTGCTTGAAGATTTTGGAGCAGATGCTTCGAAAATGCTTGTACCATGGTGAGTTCATCTTGTGTCTCTTTATCTATCTCTATATTTCTGTCAGTTAGTGGAGTTCGTGATTAAAATCAATTATTTGTTTATTTATTTCTTTGCTTGTTCTTAGTTATTTGGACAATAAATGTTGAAATTTAAGTTTTAGAACTGAAGAGCTGAGGATTGGTAGCGTTTGAATTCCAATTATGGAAAAAAACTAAGAACTTCAGATGGTAGTTACTAAAGTATAGGTTGTGAGTTGCTCTTCGTAGTTGCTTATCTGCTGTTTGCCTGGTTTTCACTTTTCAGTTGGTGCAAGTTAATCAGAAAACTGTGTACGGGTTTCCTTCTACGTCTCATGCTGGATGTTAGGGGATTTGACAGTTGAGCATATTTGTCAAGGCGTGGCAATTCTGAGCGACAGTGGGGCACCTAGTCGACTGCTAGGCACGAAGAATTTAAAAAAATGAAAAAAAAACTAAAATTTACTTAATTCCCTAGTTTTGTCTACCATTCAGCATGAATATTAACCCGAAAGAATAGCAATTCTGGAGACCTTACCAACTAACCAGTTGGCACCTTGCGGCAATTATCTTTGTTAAGATTTAATAACATTATAAGTCCTCTCAAAACATGGCAAATCATTGTATCTAGGACAATATTATTACAAATACATTAATAATACATTAAAAAACAATACTTATACAATGAACATTTAATAGAGCAATTTCATATCAAACAAGACTCATAAAAAAAATTCATATAAAAAAAGCAACTAAAGAAGGCTATAATTTTATATGAGGGAGGGAGGGACCTCTTATACTTTTGTTCTCTGTTTCCTTTTTTCTTCTTACTCTTAGATCTTTTAAATTTGAACAGTAGAACTTTAAAACAACATATACATGATATATATAGTATATTAGTATATAATAGAATTTACTAGGCTATTAACATATTAGTAATGTATAGAAATATGAATGATATTATAATAAGGTACCCATCTTGTCATTTTTGTCACCTAAGTGAGGGTTTTAAGTACAACTATGCAGTTGGTTCGGTTTTAAATACAACATTCATGTAGGCAATGTGTCCTGTGATTTCTTCTGGGCCTACGGTAATTCTGCAGTCTCATCGTACAATATGTTTTTTCTTTGTTATGCCTCTTTCTGAAGTTTCTGAGCCATAGAAGGTGGCCCAACAACTGAAGAGGATCCCATGACAGGTTTTTGAGTCCAGATTTGCTGATCACAACACATTGCTGGCCACATCCATCCAGCTGCACATTGGGAATACCGATGATATAAAGTACAAGAGATGTTCCCAATGTGCGGCTGGGTGAACATGGTCAGCAGATCTGAACTCCAGGTTTTTCTGTAGTTCCTTGAGGATGCTTACTGAATAGAGTTGAAATCATACCCATTAGCTGCACTTTCAACTGGTTGTATGGAAATTCTTATAAGCATTCAATATGGTTAGGTGATATTAACTTCTGTGCCCTCAGTTTGCTTCTCATGGAGGTTTCATTGATTTAAGTCAAAGCCACTTGACTATTTGGGATGTTAATTTGATTGGTCAATTTGGCCCCTGGGGTGGCAGTTGGAATTTCTGCACTTCAACTTGTTCACTTGTTGGGCTATAACTTTAGGGGATTCCTTTTATTTTGTTTTGTTTTGTTTTCAGTGGGGAGTAGTGGACAGTGGAACTAACATGGAAGATTTCTCATGACCCCTTTACTGCGTTGAATACTTGGTAGTTGGTATTTGTAATCCCAGTTAAGTTATTTGGTTGATTCAGCACAAATGAAGTTCAAAAAATCTGTAATAAAGATGAAGGATAATGGAGAAAAAAAGCTGAAACCAAGAGGAGAAGAAGAGCAACCAAAATTTTGGGGTTCTAATAAGTCCTCACTATCTTTTATATTGAGAATAAAAAGCTCAGAAATTACAACTCTACCCTTAATGAGGTGGCAGGAATTAAAAACAATAAAAATAGTGGCCCATGAGCCCAATAACAAATACACTAACATGCCACAAATAAAACATAAAAAGAATAGCACAACAGGCTTGATAAATAAAGGAAATGCATATCTGGCCCGTCAACTGAGTTGATGTCTTTATGGAGGCAAATTCCTTGCATTTGGAAGTTGTGACATTTTAGCTTTCACCTTAGAACAAAAGTTTTTTTTTTGGTTATTTTTGTTGGATAAGTAAGAAAGATATTGTATTAATTTCAAAAGAAAAGTATAGAATCCATCTTTTGGGAAACGGAAAAAAGTTCTCCTTAATCATTCTTTAATGCATTTCATTTTATCATAATTCTTGATTGCCTCCCAAGGATAACCAGATTTCCTTGATTCTTATGATGGGTTCCATGTTTATGAGTTTACATATGAATAACATAGGAAATTACATTGGCTAGAAGAAAGCATGACGTGTGATACTAACATCTTACATCTGAATTGTGGGTCAGCTTTCACGAAACTGAGTTAAGGATAGTCTTAGGTCTTTTATTTCATTTCTGGTATCAGTTATTGAAACATCTTGATTTTTCAGCATTAGGGAATAGCGAGTTTATTTGATGCTATATCAACTTATCAAATGAAAATCAAGCAAGTTAGATATGATTGCTATTGGATAGGCTTATGGCTAAAATATGATCATTTTAGTGGTCCTTGACTGAAATCATTATTCTTTTTTGATATTTTAGTTTCCTTAATTCAATTCTAATTTGTTTAGATTCATTTCTAGTTGGTTTTTTAAGTCCTTCAGTTGTTTGAGATTTTAGAATGGTTTTATATTGTTATGGAATTGTTATAATGAGGTTGTCTTCATCATAGGAATATCATGTTTTCTCTTTAGATTTCAAATTTTCTACATACAAGGGATTGGGACCAACATTAAATCAGATCCTTCTATGGGATTGGCCAATGTTATTATGTGGCCTCAACTGTATAGTTATTTGACAAATCATTTTGATGGTGAGTGATATTCTATTAGAGCTTGAGTGCATATAATCCAATTGCTGACTTTTGGTGTAGGTTTTCCCTGAGATGAACCTATTAAATGGTGAGTCTATTTCTCTAATCCATGGTAAACATAACAATTGAAGGGAGGGCACTTTATAGCTGTTGCAATCAGGGCACACTTGTAGCAAATCTTTTTTTTTTTTTGGGGGGGGGGAATAGGTAATGGGCACCTTTATAAATTGTTACAAAGAGTGTGTGGTGTTTACAGGAATAAGAGCCAAGCATCTCAAAAGTCCCTAGGTAGCCATATCTACCTTCCCCATTACACCCTTTCTTTTTATTTATAGTTTTATACATACAAACTAAATAACAGATTCCCCTTGGCCATCCCCAATACAGTAGTGTACTATTAATCCTTTGTTTGGCTAAAGCATCAGCCAAACAGTTTGCCTCTCTTGGTGACCATTAAAAGTGTGCTCCCAGTTTATACACCAGCTTCCTTACTAAGATGTGTCTGAACTGTTATGGACTGTGGTTGTTTTTTAGCAGATAGCCTACAATTACATGTGAATCACCTTGTCAGGATATCTTTGAAACTTAGGGGCTTTTCCAGCTTTAAACCTTGGTGCAATGCCAATAGTTCTGCCTTTGGTGTGTTTCTTTGAGCTCTATACCCCGAAAGCAATGCTAAAATCATTCTGTTATAATCCCTAAACACCCCTCAAATGCATGATTTTCCTGGATTCCCTACATTATTCCGAGTAGATTTTGAAACCTTCATTTTATTCCAATTTTGTTTTCAAAATAGGGGCTAATTCCCGAGTGCACAATGATAAATGCCTGACAAGACCCCCTTTCAGCTGGTGTTATGCATCTTCATTCTTCTTAATGCAAAAGATATTTATTAAAAAAAAAAGAAAGATGGGATCCTCCTTGCTCTTCTGCTCCCCCTCCTCCTTTTTTCTCATGCCACTCCTCTTAAGGAGGTTTATGCCTCTTACGTTTTGAACTACGCCTCATGCAACCGAGTAGTGGAATGCCTCGCGTCATGCCTCCACATTTTAAAACATTGGTCTCCTCCGATTGGATGGACCACTAACTTTCTTTCCAACCAAACCCTTGGACTTTTGGAGACTGACTGGAATCGCCTTGTACATGGTCTTATGTTGGGGTAAACTAATGGCGATCCAATTGACCATAATGTATGGATAAAGGGTGTAAGTGGGCTGGTAGAGAGGCTACCGGGGATTGTAAAGTCCTGGCACGTTTTGCATAGTTATATGTAGTTCAGAACCACCGGTTTCAAAGAACGAGTGCAAAGTAGAGAGACCATGGTCAACAATGATTCCAACACAAGAACAACCTTTGGAGTGATCTTTAAATGCAAAGTTTAAGCCTGGATGGGAAAGTAAAGGGTGATATTAATAGTTCTCCCCTTCCACAACGACATGACCACTTCATCTATGATTGTTCTTTTGAAACAATTTGTAATACCCTTGTGGGGTTGAGAAAGTTGGCCATCCTTGATTAACTCATCCTAGTTTTGGATCAAAAGCTTCACAAGCTCAAGGATGACATTGGCAGTTCTCCCCTTCCATAATGAAGCAACCCCTTCATCCTTGATTGTTCTTTTGAAATATTTGGTAATACTTGATGAGGGGTAATTTGGCTGACCAATCACAAGGAGACATGTGGTGAGCCTGAACCATTTGACGATACCTCGACACCACATGAGACAGGTTGGGTGAAGCCGAGACGACCCAAACCGACCAGCCTAGCTTACATCCTGACTTGAGAAAGGCTAGCAGGTCGCTCCTCGATAGGGTGGTGCATATCACTTCGGGGGGGATAAGCCAATGACCTTGGAGGTTGGCATGGTCCCTCCAACCTGGGCAGACTTGAGTAATAAATAGACTTCTGGGGTACCGATCCTCTGACCTATGTGGCAGGACGTCCTTATTCGGAATGGCACGGTTATCGGTGCCGAGTCAAGTGGTGGCACGATGCCTACCTGATATGCATGTCCCTAGTTCCCACACGATTTGGAGAGTTTGAATGTGGATCACCGCCAACGTGGAAGGAGCGCACTCTGAAGATAACGGACCGATAAGGCCGATCGTTTTCGGATATCTCAGACACGGAACACAGACCTCGACACCTATAAAAGGACCTCACTATTCCTTTAGAAGGTATAGGCAATCTATGCAACTTACTCTTTGTTCTGTCAAGCTCTTTACTCTCAACACCCTCATTGCTAACTTAAGCATTGGAGTGCCTAGCATGGGTTTAGCACCCCGGGTACTCTGATCCTGTGTCTTTTTGCAGTTCAATGGATCGACCTTATCAGCCCGTCCGTTCGAGCTGTCCTCCAATAGGGAGATCGGCAAATTCCTGCAACATCAATACCCTTGTAGGGTTTAGAGAGTGGCCAGCCTTGATCATCTCATCTTGGTTCTTGATCAAAGGCTTCGCATGCTCAATGAGAGCAACAGTTGTTTTGGATACGGCAAAAAATTTCACTCAAAAGGAAATCAATGGCAAAGTTAGTAAATCCTTTCTCTTTGAGGGCTTGGAAGAAGGTAAGCAGATGAGGTAAGTCAGGTAACAATGGATGGGTCATGCCACCATCATTGCTGCTGCTGCATAGATGCACCAACAATTATAGAAATCCTACATTTCTATAATTCCCATCTCATATGCATAGCACCTTGATTCAAGGCATTGCATTTGTAGAGTAGTGCTGATTCAAGAGATGGCATACGACTGGTTGCTCTGGGCAATACAAACAATGAGAAAAAACCAAAAAAAAGGGAGATTTTGGCCTCTGTTTGTAATCCCGCCTGCACTGGGTTGGGTGATGGGCTACCCCCTGTTGTGTAGCCCTTCAGAAGATATCAAAAAATGATTGAACAACAAAGAAAGATAATAACGGAGATTCGGAGAGTTAGTAAATTAATATTCAACTATGAAATAAATTACCTACTATGAATGAATGGTAGGTCCTAATGGAGTCAGTGCCACTGGGTTTCTCTAGGAGTTGGCACCTTCTTAAGTTTGGAGTCAACACCATAAATACCTTTGGGATCCAGTTATAGAAAGAATGGAGAATAAGCTCTCATCTTGGAAGGCTAAATACCTTTCATTTGGGGGGAGAGTTACTCTTTTGAAAAGCACACTTGCCAATCTTCCCACATATTTCTTGTCCCTCTTTCCAATCCCAACTAAGGTGGCCAAGAAGCTGGAAACTTTGCAGAAGAAATTTCTTTGGAAGGGCTGGGAAGAAGAAAAAAAATCGTCTTGTTAGGTGGGATCAAATCTGTCTCCTTATGGAGGAAGGTGGTTTGGGGTTAAGGAAAATTAAGGTCTTCAACTCGGCTCTCCTTAGTAAATGGTTGTGGGGATTTGCTCAAGAAAGAAGTGCTTGGTGGAGGACTCTTATTGCAGTTAAATTTGGGGTGACTAGGGGCAGTTGGGGTTCTCTGGATCCTTTCCCAAACTGGGGCTGCTCCATTTGGAAAGGTGTAATGGAAAATTTCCCCTCGTTTGTGGAAGGTCTAAGCCTTAAAGTTGGAAGAGGTGATAGAATCTGTTTCTTGAAAGACCCCTGGTGCATGGAGAACCCTCTGGCTGATACTTTCTCTCTGATATCAATGTGCTGCAAATCAAGATGCCCTGATTGCTGATTGTTATTCCACCTTAGATAATGTGGTGACTTGGATTCCCCAGTTCAGAAAGAATCTGTTTGATTGGGAGCTGGAAGAGGTTGTGGATCTTCTGGCAACTCTTCAAAGTCAGAGCGTTGACATCAATTTGGAAGATGAGTGGATTTGGAAGTGGAGTAAGGATGGATGCTTCTCAGTCAAATAACTGGCTCTTAAGCTAAGCAGTTCAGGTGTTGTGAATTTTCCAAATATGCAGATTTGGAATTCTTGCAGTCCTTCTAAAGTTAACCTAGTATGGACTATGGCCCTCAACAAATGTCTGTCCAAAGTTAACCTGGAGAGGAGAGGAATTCAGCTCCCAGATGTGTCCTGTGGTCTGTGTGGACTGCAGCCAGAATCTTCTGATCATCTGTGCCTGCATTGTCCTGTTGCAGCCCAGGTGTGGGCTCACTTCATCAATGTTGTGGGGATCAACTAGGTCATGCCGAACTCTGTCAAAGACCTATTATGCTGTTGGAAAGTCAGTGGTTTGAAGGAAAGAGGAAAAGTGGTTTGGAAGGCAATCCCTGCAGCTGTTCTTTGGTCCATTTGGACTGAGAGAAATAGCAGAGTTTTCTGCAACAAAAAGAAGAATCCAGAAGAGATTGTGCAGAGTGCAGTCAGAAAATTAGCTTCCTTGATTGCTGTTACTCCAGCTTTCAATCATTTGAATGTATTTCAGTATCTGAGAACACAGTTGTTCTGGTGTCTTGTTGAGTGCTGGCCAGTCCTTTTTGGGTTGACTCCTGTTGTATCTTCTTTCATTTATTAATAAATTTACCTTACCTTTTCAAAAGGAGAAAAACACCATAAATATTAGTAGAGAAAACTCTTTCATTCATTCATTTATTCATTCTTTTTTTATCAGTATTCATTCATTTATTCATTCATTAAATGTGTTTATGTAGAGGATACGAAATAATTTCTTTTGAGATTTACAATATATTTATTTCCCTACTCATATATTCTTTTAAACCAATTCATGAGGATCCTCCATTAGTAAAATATCATACACGTATGCTGCACTATACCTATTCATTAACCTCTTGTATGAACCTATTAAGTTCATTGGGTCTTACAAACTAGGAGCAGGACTAAACCCTGTATATTGTAGGCTCTTTATATGTTACAAAGCCCTCATGGGCTGGCAATATGGCTCAAGTGTGGCTGGTGGACACATGCTCTCATACTTCTCTTGCTACTTAGTGATTTACTTTATCACCAAGGAAAAAAAATAATAATACATCTCAAGTGTGGATGATGGTGAAAGGCACTTGGTTGCCCTCAGGCTGCCTGACCCTGTGTTTTCTTCTAGTTCGATATTAAGCAATTTTGCAAATATTTGTTCTTTATATTTTAAATTTCTATGTAAGTGTTACTTTTTTCAAGCTTGTTTTAGTTCACTGCACTAATATTTTTGGGTGTTTCCCTTATCCTTCCTTTTACCTTCCTTTTTTGACTTTGTATTGAAAGTATCCATTGCTATATTTCTTTATCTTATTGATGTTCTGAAAATTCTACAACTAGAAAATAACAACTTACACAATTTTTACTTTTTCAGTTACAACATGCTGCCAGGCTACAGTTGCTTTAAATCTTCTCCGGGAAAAAAAGGGTTGTTTTGATGTGGTAATAAGTGATGTTCATATGCCTGATATGGATGGATATAAGCTTCTTGAACATGTTGGGCTGGAAATGGATCTGCCTGTTATCAGTGAGTAATCTTTGGTTTCTTCTTAATGCTTTAGTAGGTGCATTTTGATAAGCTTTTGCTTTAAAGCTAAAAGTATCTTTTCTCTTCATACTTCCAAAAGTAGATACTTGTTCTGTTTGTAGGCTTTCTTTGTCTCTTCCTTGCTTAGGTCACTTTACTACTTTCGAAAACCCAAAAAGTAAGATATTTGTATGTATTAGCAAACATGCTTTATGATTTCTTTTTGGTTCTCAGAGTCAAAACTGAGATTGCTTCTGAAGTTTTTTTTTTGGATCAATGCTTCTGAAGGTTTATCCAGATAGGCCTTTAGATTTATTGGTTTCCTGTTTCCTGAGCTAACTTGATATTCTCTTCTTTAGTGATGTCTGCTGATGGAAGAACAAGTGCAGTGATGAGGGGGATCAAACATGGCGCTTGTGATTATTTGATTAAGCCTGTACGTGTAGAAGAGCTAAAGAATATTTGGCAGCATGTTGTTCGGAAAAGGTGGAATGAAAATAAAGAACATGAACAATCAGGTAGCATGGAAGATAATGATCGCCATAAACGGGGATCAGATGATGCTGAATATACTTCCTCTGTTAATGAAGGAACAGATGGTAATTCAAAATCTCAGAAAAAAAGGAAGGATACTAAAGAAGATGAAGATGATGGAGAAATGGAAAATGAAGATCCATCAACATCAAAAAAACCACGTGTAGTGTGGTCAGTGGAGCTCCATCAACAGTTTGTTAGTGCTGTCAACCAGCTTGGAATTGACAGTATGGCTGCTATCTCCTTGCATTTTGTTTTCATTCACATGTATTTTCCTCCTTAAAGAAGTAAATTTTGTTATCAACAACAAAAGTCAAAATTTTATTGCATTATAGAGAGAAATATAACCAAAAGGCACACTGCCACTGTAATGCCCCACAAAATGAAAGGTTCATGTTGTTGACGAAATACTAACTCTCTTGATCTAATTTATTTTTGCTTCTGATTGTAACCATTTCTTGAACATGGTAGATTTAAATTTCTTTTTCTTCTTGATTGTTAGTGATGCAATTTTCCTGCTTTCATTGCAGAGGCTGTTCCAAAGAGAATACTTGAACTAATGAATGTTCCGGGTCTAACCAGAGAAAATGTTGCCAGCCATTTGCAGGTTTGGTCTTAACCTACTTATGGATTTTTCTTGTTGCATGTGTTGACAAACAAATTTTCTTTCTTTCCCTTTTTCTCTGACAAGTTAATCAATCAGTGGAGATCTTGTTAGAGCAGATAGATTCTTCAAAAATATCACATTTCTTTCCTCCCATTACCCCCAACATGGAGCAAAAGGAACCATGACCCAAAGAATATGGAGTTCTGAACCAAGTTTATAAAATAAAAGCAGAGATACTACAATGATACGATGTCCTTTGAAATGGACGTGCCGTACTTCACAACTCCTTTTTTTTGTTCAATTTCACAACTCTTTATATTGAATTTTATATACTTGAGGGAGAAAGGGACTGTTTTGGAATGATATACAGGGTGCTACAAAAAAAAATGCTTGTATTCATATTGAGACTTCAGGAGTCATATTTGTAGTCCCATAATGTGATCCATATATAATCTTACACACTTGCATTTGGATTCATGAACTGGAGTCATACAAGCCTTATCCTAACTATTAAGTCCTCAGGTATTTATTTAATCTTGGTTTTCAAGGCAATGCCCATGTGGAGCCCCTAAATGATGCCTAGCAAATAAGGTGTTTTTTGTGGGATTGCCTTTACCTTGGTATTCTTGTATGGAAGCTGTAGAAATTTTAGGTTTTAGTATTTCTAAACTGTATCATAGTTTATAAATAAGGTAAAAGGGTGTAAAATGGCATCAGAAGGACCAATAGTCATTTTATAGAGCCATGAAATGGGTTTAGGGGAGGGAAACTACAACAGTGTTGAGAAAGTATTATGTTCACTGTAGTAGGACTGTAGGGTTTGAACTAGTACCTCATCATGTATTTTTCACAAGAGGCCTCTACTTCTTCTAATTTCCTTGACCAAAACAAAACGTTGATTCTCTTTATAGAAGATCAAGGGTCTTTTCTCTTTCATCTGTTGTTTATCTATAATCCTTCATAATCACGACACTACATCTTTCTATCTGTATCCAGAGCAAAATCTCTTCCCCTTTCATTTCCTTTTCTTTGTACTTAACACACTCAGACATTTGATGTTCTCTCTCTCTCTCTCTCTGTCACATTCAACATATTAAGTTCTCTATCCCTTCATTGGTTTGTTTTATTTTATTTTTTGATTTAATTTTCACATAATCTTTCTGTATCTGCCTCTTGTATTAACAGAATAACATTTCATCCCCTAGTTATTTTTCATAGGCCATGTGATGTTGTTTAAGCCCTACTTTTAATGTTTGATTCTTTTATGTTTTTTGATTGGTAACTGTTAAGTTATATTATTTCAGTTGTTAAACATGGGGAGGAAGATTTTATGTATTGGCCCAGGTAAGAAGAGTTTCACCTTGTCGGTTAGGATTAATTTTTTGCTGCCCTTGGGATGGGTATTCAGTAGGAGATAAGGAAGGCTGTACCGCCCTACCAGTATGATGATTATTCACTTAGGAGGTACATTTTATAGAGAGGAGAATTATTGCCTCCATGCATGAGACTAGAAACTGAAACTGGGATAGGAATAAAGGTATTCATTGACTTTCTAACTTATTTGGTGGTGAATAGAGGTGGCTTGGTATTAAACTTTATGTAGGTAGGGTATCGAAGAAACAAAATGATTGGGAAGTTGTTTGTTTACTTTTTACTTTCACAATTGTAGATCCTCTAATATTTATTTACCAATTGCAGTTCCTCTTACAAGATACTACTTGTTGCTAAGTCTTCATAAGTATTAGATATAAATGAATCCCAAGTAAAATATGATAGGAGATCTAGCTGTGCAAGAAGTATTTATTCAATCTGCCAAATTCTTATAACCCTCATAGTATTGTTTCTCTGTATCAAAATATTTAGTGATGGGACTATGATCCCATTGCCCCTTCTACATGGAGAGTACTGAAGGGAAATATTTCTCTTTTCTTTATCATCTATAAATATCCATTAATGTTTTGATGATAAAAATACCTTAAAGCTGTTCTTTTAATCTGCAGAAATTTAGACTATATTTGAAGAGACTAAGTGGAGTAGCTCAACAACAGGGTGGGATTCCTAGTTCATTTTGTGGGCCTGTAGAATCCAATGCAAAAATGGGTTCACTAGGTAGGCTTGATATTCAAGCATTGGCTGCTTCTGGCCAAATTCCTCCACAAACATTAGCTGCTTTGCATGCTGAACTTTTAGGTCGACCGACAAGTAACTTGGTGTTGCCAGCAATTGACCAACCAGTTCTTCTACAAGCATCACTGCATGTATCCAAGTGCCTTCCTGTTGAGCGTGGTGTATCATTTGGTCAACCTTTAATAAAATGTCCATCTAACATATCCAAACCATTTCCTCAGTCCAACATATCTATTGAGGATATTCCTTCAGGCCTAGGAACATGGCCAGCTAATAGCCTTGCAGGAACAGTGGGCCCAGCAAGAAATCTTGGGGGCTTGAATACCCATAACAGTAGCATGTTAATGCAAATGTTACAGCAACAGCAACAGCAACAGCAACAGCAACAGCAACAGCATCCGCATCAACAACAACATCAGAAACAACAACAGTGTATTCTACCAGAAACTAGCCACACGATTAATGTGCAGCCTTCCTGTGTTGTTGTACCATCTCAATCGTCAACCAATTTTCCAGCAGGAAATACTACTGTTTCCCTCAATCGAAATTCCAGCTTCAGTACTGGTACTGTCATTGATTACAGCCTGCATTCGGGGCAAACAAATAATGGCTCCTCGAGTATCGGACAGGTCCCAGATGGGGACTTGAAAAACATTGGTGTGCTTAATGGGTATGCTGTTCCAAGTTCCATTTCCCCAACAGTCTCATCTTGCTCAATCCAGCCTGACAATAGTAGTTGGCATGTTCAGAATTCAGCAATAAATTTTAGTGTTGCCAATCGATTGCCCGAGCTTGTTTCCAATTCTTGTGAGATTCAAGGTTCTTATGTTACAAGGCCTGCTGCATTACCAGATCAAGGGCCTGGCAGGAATCTTGGATTTGTTGGTAAAGGAACTTCCATTCCTAGCCGGTTTGCAGTAGATGATCTTGAACCACCAATGTGCAACATGAACCAAGTGAAGACATTTGGTGATAGTAATGGTGGCATAGTGAAGCAAGAGGCCGATTTAGACTATATGGAGAATGCTAAAGTGGGTGCCCCTGTATTTCAACAATATTCTTCAAATGATCTCATGAGTGTTCTCTCCAAATAGGTAATAGAAACTTCTCGTTCATAGAAATGAGGATGTTCATTCCCTTCTTGTTATTTTGCATTTCATTCCTAATATCTAATGAGACAAGGAAATATGCAGCATTGTTTTTATGGTGTTTGAACTTTTGTGATGTTTCATGATTTCACCTGGAATCAAATTCCATAGATGCGATAATTTTTCTTCTCTTTTCTTTAAGAGCTGGGGTTAGATACTGGAACTGACCAGAATTTGATGGTTATGTAGGATGTCAAACAATTTAAAAACAGTAATGATCTTAAACTTCCATCAGATCAATTCCTATTGATAGTCAAAATGAAGCCAAGATTGAAATCAGTTTATGGGAACTAAAATGTTTTCGGAGTTAAATGGCAGTAATTTTTGTGGTGTGGATCATGTTGTGTGCTGTGGGTAGCCTACCCAAACTAGTATGCTTCTTGTTTGACTTTCCAGATAAGCACAAGACAAAGTGGAGATGCCTTGAAACTATTTGCTCTGTTCAGAAAAGAAAATTAATTGTTGTATCAATGTAGGCTTTTACGTCAATCTTGTAAACAAAAGACAAATATCAGTTCTGACTTTCTTTCACTTTGCTAGATTTAATTTTGTCACTGCTGATCAAGAAAAGGTACTTTATTGCTTTCATCACCTGAGCCTTTTATTATGACAGTATGCTGTTCAAGTCAATCAAAAGAATTAATTGTATTTTCACTTTTCTTAATGAAACATGACTGTGGTAGATCTTTTTAATCATGGACTTTAATCAAAATATGATTGATCAATATGATAAAAAAAATCAGATTCACACATGTTGGAATTTCCATGTGAATAGTATGGTGTGACTGAAATTTGCCTAATATCATAATATTGTCTTATCTATTTATTCAGTTATTTACATAAATTATCATATTTACTACTACTCTCTCAAAAAGTAAATGCTGTCATAATACATAATCTCACGAAACACATCTCATATGATGTTTGCATTGTTTGAAAAAACTCAATTATTTGGTGATTCGTAATAGTATAATTCCCATGACATCTAAGTTTGTAAACAGGCATTTTTCTGTATTTCTGCTGGATCTCTCATAGTCTTACTACTTGCAGTAAACTGAACTTACAATACATGGTGATCATGTGGAACGTGGATTGGTGGAGAGATTTAAACAATTGGATTCTGGTAAAAGATTCCATATAATGTTTATAATTCTTGCCATAGATTCCTTGGGTTAACATCCTGTTTCCCTGAAGAAAACTGCTGTCTGCTCCAATATACATGGAGGTAAGGACTCCTAGGATTTCTCTGTATTTGGGCTCTGATTAATGAAAGTGAAAGAGAGAAATTTTATTGTACAATAGTTGCTTACAGTGTTTGGAGCATGTTTTATATGCAGTCATGAAGTGTTATTCCCTCTAACTAGTTATTAGGGAAATAATTTGTGTTCAATGTCTCCCTTTTAACTATGTATCAGGGAAACAAGTTGTGTCCAGAGTCTGAATCTGGTTTGAGTTGGCATCTTTTCCTAAACTTAGTGGCATTTCTCCTATTTTTAATGGGAAAGAAAATGAAGATTTTGCAATTAACTGTAACATAATACCTGTTACTTTCTTTCATGAAGGTGGAAACTTGAAAGATTAGTATCCATGTTTAGGGCCATTTTACTAGTTGAAGGCTTGCCTGAAGTGCACTGAATGGTTGCCATGAGATGATATGGGCAATTAAACAATTTACCAATAGTGTATATGCCACACACATTAGCTGATGTCTGCTACCTTTGTTTGTTTTGAGCATCTAATGTTTTAGGAATGCAGAATTTTAGACCATTCTAAAGAACCAGCAAGAACTGATCTGTTGAAGGTTAGAAGAACTAGGGGCAGACCAAAAAGGATATGGGTTGTAGTGACAAATGATCTAAGGGCCCATAGTTTAGGAAATAACACTAAATAGTACTCAGTGGCAAAACAGGATTGATGTAGCTGACCTCATATAGTTGGGACAAGGCTTAGATGGTGATGATGAGATTTTCAGTCCATCAAAGGTTGTTAATTTGTGATCATCTGTGGTAGATGTGAGAAATAGAAATAACTAAACTATGAATGTATGCTCTGCACTTGCGGTGGTTCATTGGCTGCATATGGCATTTGGCTAGAGCAAAGCAAAGTCAGTCATTGCTGCGGCTAACCATTGTTCTGGAATCATCTAACCAGGCTAAACCTTTGTTCAAGAGGATTCTGGAGATGGGTTACCAAATTGAGGACTTATATGTTATGTATGAGAGACTCTTAAATTTGCAGCATCACAAAAAATACAATCTCACTGCATAAAGAACTTAATTGCTAAGCTTTGAATGTGTGCATTGGATAGAAAGAGGTTGCTGTGATATCTATAGATTATGTTGGCAAGCATCAATAGCATGGAAGGATATCTAGATAGGATAAGTGTGTTGACCACCACAGATGTAAACTGTTGTGTTTGGCTATCTATATGATTCAATTAGTGCAGGAGATCAAGATATATCATGGTGGAACCAATCTTTCCTTCAGCTAGCATCTTCTTGACAGCTACTTTCTGCCTGAAGTCAGAGTATGTTAGTTGGAGATTCAAATAACCAGAAAGGTAGAATCTGCTTAATGCTTATCATGCTTGGCTGTTCTAGGTTGTAGTATGAAGATAAAATTCATCAAAACAACAGTGTCCTTCAAGGTGGTGGTAACAAACAAAGTTCTGTAACCCGCCTTAAAGACGCTTTGTTGTACTAGCATTGGTTTTGCGCTCGGCATACGGCATAGCCCTTCAAAAGTCAAGTTGTTGATTTCTGTGGTGGCCATCTAACCTGAAGTCCTTAACTTTTCCAAGAGGTTTAAGATTTCAGGCCCGTTTGATAAGGGCTTAAGTGATAACTGAATGACTTATTGCGTTGTCTTTTAGTTGATAAAATAATTAAACATAAAATATTGGGGGGTTGGCTCAACCCAATTTCAATTTCAGCCATCAAAGAGCTCTTAAACTAAACTCTTCAAAATCTTGTTCACTAAAAGACAAAGCAATTAGTCATTCAGATCAATCACTTTAGCTGCAAGCTGACGGGTTTCCAATTCCAAAAATTGTGCTAACTGCTAAGGTGCCAAGAGGAGGAAAAAACACAGTTCACATCTGCTTGACCACGGTCGCAGCAATCAAACCAAAATCAGATTTGTCGGGTATTCATTCAAATTTAGTGGTTTCTAATTGGTTAAAGTTATTCAGGCAATATTACCTTTCTGATTTCATAGATAAGATATTGCCTTGTATAGAAGGTTTTCCGATGATATCATGATTCATGCATTCATTTCAGTATCTGTTATGCTTCCCCTTGTTCCATGTAAAAAAAAAAAAGGTGAAAAGCAAACTAACAAGGTGTTGCTGGGCAAGAGGTAAGAGCTTTTAGCAATGGCAACAGTGCAACATGATTGGTTTTGTTTTGAAAAACAAAATTCTGCATGTTTGGCGAATACCCCCTAATTGGTGGTTTAGTGGGTCGGACTCTAATAGATTCTGCTAAAATAAAGTAGTGGTTTTAGACTTTTAGTGTTTGGGCAATTATGGGGGCTATTTTGAAATCAAACGAATTCCCTTCTACATGATTTGGACGGTTTGGCTTATCGCCATGCCCCATGTTTGAGAACCCACGTTTCTCCTACATCATCATCACCCTAAAGCTTTCAGAGTTTCAGTCAATTAATCTCAAAACGGACCCCTTTGCTTATCAGCTTTTTTTTTTTAATTATTAATATACTTGGCTTACTAGCAATTGGTAGATCATCTTCCTCGGGTTGGGTCCACAGGGAGTGCGGATCTGCTCCTCACGGAGCATGCTTCACACCAACCTCACAGCACGTATCATCTGTGTATTTAATTCATGGAGAGATGATTAGGATGCACGGCTGAAAAGTGTTATGAGGTCAGTGTGAGGCATGCTGAGGAGCAGATCCAATCTCGTCCACATGATGCATTGAGCAGTCTGAAATCCCTGGATAATCATCATCACCATCAACGTCTAAGATTTTATCGTACGAATTTTATTTCAACATTCCGTTCTATGTATGAAAAGACAATTCAGGATCTATGAGCTTTGAGAGTTAAGAAAAAGTTTTGTTTGTGCTGGCAACAAATATAATGCAACTCTCCTTTATCCCAGCCTGGGACTGGCAGCGCAAGGCAAGTTCACAATGGTATGGCCTAGGATGCATTCCATGTTTTTATCCTTGGCACTTAATGCATTAGAGACTAAGGCTGTGTTTGAAATTGGTGTAAATCAAGAACTGATGTAAAAGTTTGTGCTGGTTTGATTTTGTTAGTATTTGGAAGAGTGTAATTATTATCGATGTAAACTCTACATCGGTTCAGTTTTGCTTGCGTTTGGATGGAGTGGAGTTTTATGTCGTGAATTAGTGTAAAACCTCATCAAATGTAAAGTTTTACTTTGATTAGAATTAGTGTAAAACCTCATCAAATGTAAAGTTTTACTTCGATTACTGATGTAAATACTACATGATAAAATCTATGTAAATTTTACACTGATCACATTACATTTTTCAAAAGTGCAATAGTCATTGAATCACGGTTCAGTATAAAATGTCATCGCTATACTTTTACACCGATGACGTTTTACACCAATTCCAAACACAGCCTAAGGTTGTGTTTGATTGTGGTGTAAATGTAAATCGGTGTAAAACTCCACTATCGATTCATATTTACATACGTTTGTTTCAAGTGTAAAAGCGGACCGATGTAAAACTCCACACCTGGTCTATTTTTTCAGACGTTTGTTTGGGATGTAAAGTTTACATTAAAAATTGATGTAAAACACTTTTTTCAATTGACTTTTTCATCATAAATTAATGTAAATAATACATCAATTTTGTCGATGTATCATTTACATCAATTCTCACATAAAAAATTTCGCAATGGTGCATTCAATTTTTAAACCGATGGACTGGACTTTTGCATGGAGAATTTTCCACTGCAATCAAATGCGGCTTAATGTTCAAAGCATTTGAAATGCAAAGAGTATTGAAAAGGCAATTGTAAATATGGTGAATTGTAAAGGCAATTGTATATGCTATGGTTTGGTGACACATGAATATGGTGAAAAAATTAAAATATGAAATGCATTGACTCCACTAGTTTGAGCCTCAGATTATTATAAATAAGATTCATAAACTTAGTTTATGCGAGCATGAACTATCAGAACACACTTGGGAAATGTAGAAAAATGATAGAACTAATATTCAGGAAAGTCCTATAATTCTTATTAATATTTATCAAAATATAAAATTTAATTGTTAGCTTTATTTTTTCAAGTTTTTTTTTATAAGCATGCTTTAAGAAAAGAAAATGTCTAAAGGTTCAAATTTAAAGAGCGACAACTAGCTGAAGCATGGTGTAGTGGTGGGCTTGTTGTCTTGCAACCTAAAATTTGGTTTAAATCATTCTAGTTGCAAATTTTATACCGCAAAAAATATGGCTTGATTATAAGTCAACGAGAGAGAATAATGGTTTAAATATAGGAGCTAATGATGTGCGAGAGAATTAGAAGAGTTAATGACGTGATTTGAATGGAGGGAATTTAACGAGAGAGAGAAAATGGATTGTAACAGTAGGTATCAAGTATGTATTAGCTGATAGGACTGGTACGGTCAGTGTATCAATTGATGTTTTGGATACGGATGGAATGGAGTTTCGGCCATTCCACCAATTTTGTGTGCCATTAAATTGTAAAATCAGTATGTATCGGCCCATATTGACCGCTATATATCAATGCTTTAAACTTTGAATGGAGTCTAAGGTTGTCTTTGGTATCATTGCCACTAGGGGTGGATATGAACTGAGCCGAGCCAAATATTTGGCTATTCGAGCTCGATTTGTTGAAATAGTCTTAGGCTCAAAAGCTTGATTTGAGCTAGAGACTTGAGTTCGAGTTCGGTTCAGTTCAAAGCTTGTAAGTTCGAATTCAGCTCAGCATGAGCTCAATTACAAGCCAAGTTTTTTCTAAAAAATAAAAATATATTTATTATTTTATATACAATAAAACAAGAATTATAAAAACTATTTATTATTATTATATATATATATATAAATTGTTTTTATATTACATACAAAAAAATAAGAATGATAAAAATTAATATACATAAAAATAAAAATAGTATTATATATAATAAAAATTTTTTATTTATATATTTATATGTATATGTATGTATGTATATAATAAAAATTATTTATTTATTATATTAGGCTTGTGAACCTCACAAACTGAGCTTCATTGGGCTCGAGCTCAGCTCGATTAACAAACAAGCCTATGTATCAAGCTTGAGATTGGCTAGAAGCTCGGTTTAAACTGAGCCGAGTCGAGCTCGAATAACTCGTGAAAAGCTCGGCTCGTGGGCACCCCTAATTGCCACTTCTACTTGCAAGGTTTTTAGGTTGGCCAGTGCAATTTTAGAAGAATATATACCACAAATTTTAGGAGAATATAACATTTGGTACCATTGTTACTTTAGGAAACATTAAATTTGTAAATGACGGCACTCGATTCAACTCGATGCCTTTATTTTTATTTTTTTAATGAAAGTGGTTATCTGATGTGAAGTAATGTGACAAGACCATTTCTCAAAAATTTGTATTGATCAACCTAAAATGTTACAAGTTGAACGGGCAATGGTACTAAACACAACTTAATTAATTATATTACTTTTATCATAGCCCTTTCAGAACTCTTAACATACATCAAATTCACTCAATATTTTAATAGTACTAAGTGGTTGATACTTGGTAAGCTCCCTACTAACTTAGTTGTAGCAGAGATTTGGTATCACTTCTGCCTTCACTGGGGTTGGGGGGCTATGGATTTACAGCAAAGACTTGGTAAGATGGCTCTTGTATCAACCACTTTTTTTTAATGCCATCATATCTATGCTAGAAAATTTAAATAAATCATAATAAAGTATATCAATAGTATCTTAACTTTTCTACCAATATACATATTTATCCAAAACATATCACAATCTTAAAATTGTCTTTCTAATATTCTTTGCATTTTTTTTTTTTTTACTTTGAACCTTGACACTCTCCAATGCAAGTTCGACTTCCATTAGGGCAACACCCATTCGAGCAGCCTTTACAGTCTTGCATTGGGAATATCTCTACATTCATTGCTTTATTTCATGGGGAAATATTCCTGGTACAAGGGTGCAAGAGGCTGTTGGGATGGTGTGAGCATGGGCTTGCTTTGATGAAAGCCAATCTCCCCCAATGCACAAAAAATTCGCTAATGGTGAGAAGCGATGAAAACATAGTTCTCAAACAAGTGAGAAACTTTTATCGAGGGAGGCAAGTTGAGCGTCGTCTTCTTCTCAGCCGCCATCCAACCTGTACTCACCGGTGTCATCTCCGATGACCTTTTCTAAAGGTAAGCTCATATTTGGGTTCTTCTCAAGACTTTCATTCGTTTCTGTACTATTTTTACCTATTTTCATTGAATGAGCTTCCCACAAAATTTTCCCAACACCTAGAGCCATCTGTGGTCATCTAAATTCGAAAAAACATTTGATCTACCATTCTCAGTGCTTATTTTAATGCTGAAGCTCTAGATCTAGCTTCTAGTATCTGCCTTTTTCCAGATCTGGGGTTCTTTCTAGATTTGCTCTATTTGTTTCAGGCTTGCCATTAGATCTGGTGGTGTTTGTTATTAAAGCCTTCTCCGTTTTGGCTCTCTATTTTTGTCAGAAGTACCTGGCAGATTAAAATGGTTTATGAAGCTTACATTGAGAATGTTTGAATCATGGTTTTTAAAACCAAACCGGTGACCGAATCAGTCAAGGGTCCGGTTACTGGTTTGAACAGTCCTACCGTTTGACCCGAATGGTTGACCCATTCTGACAAAAAAAAAGAAAAGAAAAAGAAAAGCGGTCAAAACTGTTCAAATGGTTAACTGGCCGATTCAGCGGTTTGCTGACCAAAATCAACAGTTTTGGGGGGGGGGGGAACGGAACCGATCAAGTGACCGGTTTCCGGTTTTTCCGGTCTGGCTGTCCAGTCCGGTACAGTTTTGAAAACCATGGTTTGAGTTTTCAAGAGAATTACGGTCTTCAAATTGCACGTAATGTGTACTTGTTTCTCTATCGTGTTGTTTGTATATGGGATGAATTACTGTTAATATTGCCATGCCATTTATTACCTCTATTTTCTTGTTAACTCAACCCAGTCCTCTTAATTTGCTTAGCCGATAGTAGTAATTCTTGTTTCTTTTTAATATTGTTTTGTTCTTTTTTACAATTGTTGCGATACACTTTTTCCATTGCGAAGAGTGATTGAATATGGTAGTCTCAGTCAGCGATTTGGATGCTTCGGTGGAAGTTTTGGTTCATCTTTTGGGTTATATTATTCTGGTTTTCTTCGCATGTAACTTTTATGTATGAGCATTAATCTTGCTTTTTCCCCTTGCTGAATTAGTTGTTCCCATTGTTCTTTTGGATTGTATTTATTTTTCTTTCTGAACTAGGATTTGGACATTTAGACGTGGCTCCCCTTTTGAAGTATGGAAAGACCTCGGGTTGTAGGCTCAGATTGTGGTGGTTGAGTTCTAGTTGATTTCGACCTTTCATACAAATAATAAAGAAAATAAAGAGTGACCTGATGATATAGGAAAATGGAGTGCAATAAAGATGAGGCCACCAGGGCAAAAGAAATTGGTGAGAGGAAGTTTACAGCAAAGGACATTGCTGGTGCGAAAAGAATTGCTTTGAAGGCCCAAAATTTGTATCCAGGCCCAAAACTCTTGATGTTTATATCTCTGCAGAGAACAAGATAAGCGGGGAGGCAGATTGGTATGGGATACTTGGTGTTGATCCTTAGCTGATGATGAACAGTACAGGAAACTGACTCTCATGCTTCACCCTGACAAGAACAAATCTGTCGGGGCAGATGGGGCTTTTAAGCTTATTTCAGAGGCCTGGAGTTCGTTATCTGACAAAGCTAAGACAGCAGCATATGACCAAAAGAGGAATTCCAACAGAAAGTTCCACCTGCACCACCTGGTGCAAATGGTTTTTATAATTTCACCAACAATCCAACCTCAAATGCAAAGCCTCCAAAGAGTGGCAATCGGGTAGGTACTGCATCTGCTCCTGCTTCATCCCATCCATCAAAACCTAATACATTTTGGACTGCATGTCATCGTTGTAAGATGCAATACGAGTATCTCAGGGTTTATCTGAATCACAATCTCCTTTGCCCCGATTGTCATCCCAAAAACAAGTAAGATAACTGGTCTCAGCAACCAAACACAATTGACAGAATTGAAAAAATAAAATTTCCCTTCTCATCCCAACCCATCCCATTTCATCTCATCCTTTCTCGGCAACCAAACTCACCATAACTGAACAAGGCAAAAGATAAGGTTTGAAGATATTAACTTTGATTAGTAAAGCAAATGAGAGAAGCCAGCTGAGCCCTTTCATTATGTCGGCTTGTGTTGAATGAATCCTGTGAGGCAAGCCTGAGACCTATTTTGGTGGTTTGAGTGAGTCCGGATCTACTCTTCACAACGGGGCGCCTCACACCATCCTCACATCGGCTGATTGCGCCACGTGTCCCGCGTTCGTGTGAAAGCAAAACACGAGCGGAGGGTTGCATTTGGCGCCCAAAACATTCGTACCCTTCTTCGTCTCTCCCTTTTCTAAACCTTCGATCTTCAAATAGTACTTGATCCCTGTCTGCTTTCATAATCTCTAAGAACACTGATAGACATTGTCCCTGATTCCTTCTTCTTCTTTTTTTGCTCTGACTTCTATTAAATTCCTTCACATCTTATATTTCAATTCTTCTTCGAACCTTTCTTCCAAACCCAACAACTACCGTCAAAAACAACACAAACCCACAAACAACAACGCCTACAACAGATAGAGAGATAAAGCAATACCGATAACTGAGAGAAATAGCTCGATAATACAGAGATAAAGAAATACCGAAGAGAAGGACACTGTATTGGGTTAAGTGGGTTGTCTGAAATCTCAATTCTTATATGAATGTGTGTTTTGGTGTCGCCACATAGAAGTGCAGCAGGATAGGCGCCGCGTGTTGCGTCCTTGAAAGGTGATGGGTAATAAAGTGTCTACTTCTTTATATCAGGACTAAAGTCCTCCCTCCCTTCTCCACTGGTTGTAATCATATTTAC